ACAAAAAATGCACTGTCAGGTGGGATTCCTCAAGAAATAGGACTGGTTAGTGGAATGGAAGAGCTATATCTTGGACACAACAACTTGTCTGGGGATATACCAGAAAGCATTGAAAATATGACATCCCTGAACAAGTTAGACCTGTCTTTCAACCTTCTGAGTGGTGCCGTTCCAACACACGGCGTGTTCAGTAATATGACCGGTTTAATGTTAGAAGGGAATTTGGGGCTCTGTGGTGGTAACTCACAATTGCAGTTACCTCCATGCACGCAAAATCCCATGGAGCACAGTAAAAGGAAACATAGTCTCATTTTTAAAGTGATAGTACCAATTGCTGGAACCATTTTGTGTTTTAGTCTGGTGCTTATTTTGATCTCATTAAGAAAGAAAGCAAGACCTCAGTCACAAACCTTGTCAGGATTTCATTTGACAGATGACAGATATCCTAGAGTTTCTTATGCTGAATTGGTTCAAGGAACAAGTGGCTTTGATACAAACAATTTGCTTGGTACAGGAAGGTATGGATCTGTGTATAAGTGCAGCTTGCTACTAAAAAATAAGATGACTACAGTTGCGGTGAAGGTTTTTGATCTTCAACAGTCAGGCTCTTCCAAAAGTTTCATAGCTGAGTGTGAGGCACTTAGTAAGATTCGTCATCGTAATTTGATCAGTATCATAACTAGCTGCTCAAGTTCTGATTCGAACCACAATGACTTCAAAGCACTTGTTTTCGAGTTCATGGCTAATGGAAGTCTACATGGGCGGTTACATCTAGATGTGCATGCATCGCAGCAATGGCAGGGTTTGACATTGGAACAAAGATTAAATATTGCCACTGATGTTGCGGATGCACTAGATTATTTGCACAATTGTGAGCCACCAATAGTTCACTGTGACTTAAAGCCAAGCAATATTCTTCTTGATCCGGATTTTGTTGCTCACGTTGGGGACTTTGGCCTTGCAAAGATTATTTTTGCCCCAGAAAGTGAGCAACTCATTAACTCAACGAGCACTATCGGAATAAGAGGGACAATTGGATACGTTGCTCCAGGTAACTAAACTTAAATATTACATTCCATATTCAAATTTGAAATTTTGTGTTACAAAATAACTAGTATTTGCTTATGCATTGTAGAATACGGGGAAGGTGGTCAAGTTTCACAATGTGGGGATGTATACAGCTTTGGTATTATCATCCTGGAGTTGTTTACAGGCATGGAGCCTACTCATGACATGTTTGGAAATGGGTTAACCTTGAAAAAGCATGCTGAGAATGCATTTCCTGAAATGCTACTGAAGATTGTTGATCCAGTGCTACTCTCCATGGAAGAATCGTATGAATGTAATTTGAAGGATGCACAGGATTCATTGGAAGACATCAGCAAGGTCATGTTGTCCATCACAAAACTTGCATTGTCATGCAGCAAGCAGACACCAACAGAGAGGATCTCCATGAGGAATGCAGCAGCAGAGATGCACAGGATAAGGGATCTCCATGTTAAAATGAGATAAACAGAGCAAGCTCCAGCAGTGACATGGATTGGGTTAGCAAAGGAAATACATACTTTTTTAAAGGACAAAACAAATTAGAAAAGGTTCAAATTACTCCCATCATAGCAAAACTATCCGGATAACCCCCTAAACTATTTTTGTATTGAATTTGCCCCTCCAGATCCTTTAGATGGTCCAATGTATCCCTTAATAAGATTTTTTATTTTTGTTTTCCCAGTAAGTTGAGTTTAAAGTTCAAATTTTGTAGGTTGATAGTGAACACCATAATGTATGTTAGAAAATACATTATGACTTTTTATCATTATTTTCTATAGCTTAAGCACCAAACAAAAAATTAACCCTAAAGATTTAAAATTATTTGAAAATTAATGATGAAAATTTGATAGTATATTTTTATAACAGAAGTTATGAGATTCTCTATCACCCTAAAACTCAACTTATACATGAAAAAAAAGACAACTTTTATTAAGGGGCACACTGGTTGAAAATCTAGATGGTAAATTGAACATAAATTTAATTTATGGGGATTATCAGGACAACTTCTATGTACGAAAGGAGTAATTTGGACTTTTTCCAAACAAATTTATACAATACTAATGGTAGGCTTGGTCTATCTATTTTTTTAAACCAACAAGGTGAGATGTCACCTTACATCTATGATAATTGATCCATCTCATGGAACATAGAACATATGCGGATTCTAATGCAGAACTGAATTTTGTTGGCTTTTGAATAATGAATGAATATATTGGGGGAAATATCATGGTTTTGATGCTTTTTGCATGTATAAGTCAGTTTATATTTCATAGGAACTACTTAATCATTCTACTAAAGCACTAGTTCACGAGAAGCTATGAGGACATCAGCTCACATTGAGCGCTCATCTTCAATCTTGTCGCTTGACATTGCTGCCTCCTTCAAAGGTGGAAGGAGACACCATCCATCTCTAGAAATCAAACTTATAGGGATGGCTGGTGTTTAAGGATGGTTCCGGATGTCCAGATATCCAAAAGATCCGATATCCGTTTCAGCGTAAATATGGATATATGTATTTGTATTCGATTTAAATATAGATGTTAAATGGATGTATCCGCATTCGTTTTTCAAGATTATTCTCTATTCGATTCCACATCTGTATCGGATAAAAATGTGAAATATCCGATACTATCCATATCCACGAAGTACAAATTATTTCAAAACCATCCAAATCTTATAATTATGACTAATTAACTAAGTAAATGATAATAATTTTAATATAACCGATGATATGTGCCATTATTTAAAAGCTATTTATAGCTAATAAAGTTTAATTAATTTTAATATGGCTAATGATATTAATTAATATTTTATTTTATTTATGTACTTCTAGAAATTATTTTTATTTATTTTAATTTAGTAATTAATATATATTATCTCTTATTTTCTTATATTTTATATATTCGTTTTGAAATATTAATTAAAATATTTTATTTTTTGGTAGTTGTCTTTATCCACGGTGTTATATAGCTATATATTAAATTCCTTCATCCATAATGATTTTATTATACTATAAAACTGTCGATAATAAGCAAATAGATACATGTTATCTTCAAAATCAAGTACATATCCAAATTCAAAACCAAATTTGAGATATCCGTTTTGCATTGGTATCTGATAATATCCGTATTCGTATTCCAATTCAAATTAAAATGTGGTAAATAGTGGTAATTGGTCCGAATCGGATCCAAATCCATCCTTACTAGTGTTTCCAACCACCTCTATAAATAGAAGCATTTCTAAAGGCGGTTTGCAATTTGGCCCATCTCAATAGGTGAAAATCAAGTCAAATGAACACAAACTTTATATTGTAGTTGATGACTTTTTTATTCAAAATCATTTGAGTTATCAAATTTTCATTTAAGTTCACAGATATTGAAATTCAAGTTTTTTATTTTTTTCAAACGATCTCGGATGGGGTGACACCCTAACTAGAGTTATAGTGCTCGACGAGATCAAAATCTTTTTAGTTCAATTATTTTTTTATTTGAAATCGTTTAGAGGTTGAAATAGTAAATTCAAGATGCATGAAAATTAATTTAAAAACAGCATCCTACACTTCGTCACAAGTTACTCAACGGGGCAATGATAAGGCAAGAGGTTTGAGGTCTCAAGTTTGATCCTGACCAATTGCATGGCCTGGTGGACCTGTCTCTTTTTCCTTTTTCTTTTTCTTTTTTTTTTTCTTGTGGCTGATTCGCAATTTCTGTAAATTCATCTATAAAAATAGTATCCTACCTCTAGAACTTTTTTTTGCCGTGTCTTTTGGTTGTGTTTGAGTAGCATTAGCTACTGTATGTAATAACAATGGTGTAATAATTCGTCTTCTTTGATGACGAGGTCCCAAGCCAAAAATTTCGTTAGTTATCTAGAAAAATCAAATGCTTGCCCGTCATGGCTGCATCACTGTCGCCTGCTAGCCGCTGGAGGCAGTGTGCCACGTATGGCAACTCCTCCACGCACTCAGTGGAAAATTCAAGAGAAGAAAACTCAGCGGTTGAAAGAAGAAGACGCGAGATTTGGACAGCTTGTTACCTGTGACGCATTTTGCCGAACAGGTGGTGGGGCAGTGGCGCACGGCCTCCTGTCGCTGCGAGCGAGAACTTGTCCGACGGCGATGCGCAGTCGTCAGTCGTGCACGCGGTCGCACGCACCACGCCACCACGCGCACGCAGCGTCATGGCGAAGGAGGCAAGCAGCGGCGATTCCTGTCCCGTGCCGTGCTGGGCCTGCTGCCCCGTCTTCCACGCCTTCTCCAGTTCTCCTAGTCCTAGTCCTTCGACGCCTGAGCCTCTTTCGGTGACAAAAAGAGGCAACAGACGACCCCAGATGCACCGATTCTGAATCCGTGGCTCATGTTTGTTGGAGAAAGAAAAACAGAGATTCAAAGAGAGACGAAGGCGCCCTGTCAAACTCAAGAAGCTACAAATATCTGCGACCTTGCGGTTGCAACAGCAAGATGTGCCTCAACTAAAGGCTCTTGCAATGTGTGTTTGAAATCCGTCACACATTCCACCGGACAGACCACTACCTGCCCTTTTGGCTGTCACAAAATTGTAACTCGCCAGTCGCCACAAGATTACTGAGGATAAGCAGGCACATCATGTAAACTGAACAGCGGAACAAAACAATTTTTTTCCTTCTGAAATTTCACATGTTGGATCTGACAACACAAAGTTAGAGCAGAATACAATCGAATAGTCCATTTTTTTATAGATCAAACCGAATGGTCCATGCCTCCATGGAGAGTAAACAGTGTAGTTCACCAAATTACATCATGGCATCTAGGTAGCAAAGGAATTTTTTTTCCCAGCAGCTCGCTTGAGTAAGTAGTAAACAGTAAGTAAACTAATAATGAATTTCTTCATGGCAAAGCAGAGGTCAAGGATGCCATAGCCTTTGCATTGCTTACTTGACAGATCAACTTCTTAAATCGAAATGAATTTGCTTCATCATATTGCTTCAAAGGTCACCATCCACTTTTTCACCCATGCAGGTCTTCCATCTTGACCCGGCAGGCTAGTCAAGGACTCTCCCAAGTGCATTGGACCTGCAATAAAGGTAAGTGCTTAAAGTTGAAGACATGTAATTATTCAATAAGTAAGTGAAGCAGTACAGTTGTTTCTCTGCATTTTTTTGCACAGCATCCATCAGCAGGAGTGCGATTACTAAAGCAAACCAACTGTTGTGGTGCTTCGAGATCTGAAATTCATAATATTCTTTTCCTAAACATGGCACCCGCTCAATATTCCTTTTTCCTTGGGTGGCACGTAGGCATGCCCATCTGTATGTTAATTTTGGGTGTTCAGCTGAAAATCTAATCATCTCCCAGAGCCTTTAGCAGGAGCAGACAACTAAATCATATAAAGTATTCTCAAGACTCCATCAAACGGAAGTACGACAGAAAATTAGAACACATTTTAATCAGTTTAGGAGTTAGGATCATCCTTGTGCATGTACTTACACTAATGGAAACAGGTACGGCGGTGAAACTCAGTAGCTGTTGAGACACCGTGTGACTAAGCCCGCACAGATTGTATCGTGCTCTCCACGCCAAAAAGATTGAATTAATCAACAGTGACATCCTTATCTCTAAAGAAAATAATAAATCAAGTTGAAATCAGAGTTCAAATTAGCCAACTCACACATGCTTCTGGCATAAGTTGGGCTACAAAAATGAGGTAGAAGAAAACTAGAGAATTACCTTGTACTGTGATTTGCTTACTGGCAACCACGTTGATGATGCTGTTATGTAGGCATAACAAGTAATTAAGAACAATGACGATGTTGGCAGCATGTCCCTTAGGAACATATCGCACCTAGGTCCAGAATTCTCAGCCTTCAAAAGACCAACTGGAAATTGGATACGGATAAGGAAGAGTGAACACATATGAGCATGACTGCAAGGTGCCCATGGACCTGGAAGCAATAAAAATTTATAATCAGGAGATAGAGTCGGCCAAAAGCGGATCATGGGTTAAAATAGTACAACAAACTCACCAGATGAAGCGCTAGCAGGCAGCCGCCTACTGAATCCACAGAATAGGGATATGACAGTTGGCAGATGAGGTCCCAGTCCTCCCCCGTTTCTGGATTGCAGCGCCTCACTAGATCAGAGCAGAACATGATCCGCAAGCTCTGCAAAGCCGTGAGGTCCCTTATCCCCTCCGGCAAGGATTTGATGCTTGGACATCGACAGATTTCGAGCTCTCTAAGAGAGGTGGTGAGGCGGCAGATGGATTCTGGAAGGCAAGTCAGCTCTGGCAAGTCTGTAATCTTGAGTTTCCATAGAGAGCAGAGTTCTCCCAGGAAATCGGGCAAATGGTGAAGAGCATTGCACCGTCGTATCTCAAGCATCTGGAGGGATGTGAGGTGGCCCATTGATTGAGGAAGCATGCTCAGGCTATGGCAGTATTCGATGGGCAACTCTTGCACAGAGACTGGAGTTCCCCTATCGAGTCGGGTAGCACGCGGATTTTAGACGAGGCCTCCATTTTCAGGGACCGGAGGGATGTGAGGCTCCACAAGCTCTCAGGCAGCTCGGTTTGCACTCCAAAGAAGCATCTAATCTCCAATGACTCGAGTTCTGTCAAGTATTGCAGCAGCTCCCGCTGGCTGGATCCCAATCCTGTCACTTCGCGTAGCTGTAGCTTCTTCAGGTGGCTAAAACTGGGGGACGAAGAGGACCCCTCGCATTGGCCTGGTGACTGCAGTAGCTCCTCACTGCCCCAGATCCACAAGTGCTGCAGCGACAGAGGAAGGTGCGGCTTCACCTCCAACTTAGGACAATCACTAATCTTTCACTCTGTTAGGCAATTACCAACTAGTATGACTTGTCCCAACTGACGTGTGAAATTGCAGCAGCCTCTTCCCTCTTCTCCATCAGGCATAGTCCTCTCTGCTACCATCCACACATCTCCCAAACAAGGCAGTCTATACATCTTCAACTTCACCAGTGAAGGAAATGGGCCTCCACTTATGCTCTCAAGAGAAGACATCTGTTTCAGCTCAAGCAACTCCAAACAAGGCAGCTCCACAAGCCCATGTAGATTCTTCAAGTTCGGGAAATCACATAGCTTCATCACCCTCAAAAATGGGAAGGAAGCAGGGCCCTGTACTCCACCACCAACTTGATTCTGCATCCACCGTGCATATTGCCTACCTGAATACCAATGAATTTCCAGCTCTTTAATCCCAGGTGGTGCTTCTAGGCCATCAAGCACATCCTGCTGCAACTCAGTGCTTCCATGTCATCTGCCATGCACTTCCACTCTAGAACCAACCTTTGTAAGTGTGTGTTCTGTTTCAAGCATGCCATGTGTGCGACATTCGGGTCCATCACATGTGAAATACCTCTGATTCTTAGTTCCACACCAATCCTAGATACATCTGCTAGCTCTGAGATTCCTGCATACTTTTCTCCCTTACCCACAACAAATAAGTCCAACTTTGGTAGTAGACTAAGCTGTCCAATGCCAATAGGCATTCCTCCCAATTTTTTACAGTTTTTTAGGTTCAAAACTTTAAGCTTCTCCAAGTTGCAGATGCCTTCAGGCAGCTCTACCAGCTCACCACAACCCTGAAAAGTCTAAACACTCCAGATTTCTCAGTTTTGTGATACTTGATGGTAGCCTCTCAACTTTGGTGTCACCTAGTCTCAACACTCTTAGCATTTCGTTTCTGCCAATAGAGTTTGGCAACACTGTAAGCTTCTCGCAATTGCAAAGGTCAATGCTTGAAATCATTTTGCAATCACCAATAGTCTCTGGTAAGCATTTCAGCTCTCTGCATCTTGATAGGTTCAATGTTCTTAACTTCTGTAGCTTGCCAATAGAGTTTGGCAGCACTATAAGCCCCATGCAATTGCAAAGATCAATGCTCGAAATCATTTCACAGTCACCAATAGATTCTGGTAAATGCTTTAGATGTCCACAGCCTGACAAGTTTAGTGTCCTTAACTTCCTCAGCTTACCAATTGATTCTGGTATCTCGACAAGTGAATAGCTGTCTGCTACATGAAGTGCTTGCAGGCTCCAAACATCTGAGATAGCCTCAGGAAGCGTTTCACAACTGTGTAATGACATGGAAAGATATTTTAGATATTTAACCTGACATATGGTGTTGACTTTTTCTGCATCGACATATTCCACCGTGACACTACGCAAGTGCTTTGCATGCTTCAGTGCCATGAAATTTGCCATGAAATTAGATTTATTCTACATGGCTTTGATCAGAGTTTTCGTTTAATAAATGGACGGAGTTAACCCGCGATGGGTCGTGCGCCCAGGACCGCGCAACCCTTCTTCCTCTCCACGACGCGACCCTCCTCCTCTGCCCCATCCATGGCCATCGAGCACCTGCAACCCACCACCGCCACCCCATCCATTGCCGTCAAGCACACCGGCCATCCTCCTCCTCCTTGCCCCCGCCGAGGGCGCTAGGATTCGCCGGAGCTCCAGCGAACCATAACGCCCACATCGGCCTCCCTCTTCCCCTCCCCCAACTGCTGCCATCTTCTCCAGCTCCAGCGAGCCACCCCCGGCCCGACCGCCCCGACCACCGCCAGCTCCCCCTAAGCCAACCGACCACCATCCCCACTGCCTGGCCTACCTACCTCCCCCAGTTGGGCCCTTCTATACCGCTAGAGTTGGAGAAGAAAGTGGGGGAGAGCTCGCCAGAACCCTAGCCACCGCCGCTGTCGTCGTTGTCTTTGTCTCCAGTGGTGGTGGTGGTGGTGGAGGAGGAGGCCTACCTCGCCGCCGCCGCTAGAGGGGAGGGAGGGAGGAGCTCACCGACGCGGTACCCTAGCCGCCAGCATTGTCTTCTTCTTCTCCAGCTAGGGCGCGGAGGGAGAGGGAGCGCGGGGTCGCATGGGGAGAGGGAGAGCGGGCTCACGTCTTGTGGGAGAGGGAGTGGGGCGCTGGCGTGGGCATCGCGAGGTCTCGTGGGGCGTGAGTGAGGGTGTCGCGCGGTCACGAGGTTTGATGACTGTCACAAAGTAGCTTTTCCGTTAAAAAGTATATGTTAACATTTATAAGTTTAGACAATACACTATCAAGACATACGTAGAAATTGAATAAAACTAACTTGATGTTGTAAAGATTAATATATTTTATAATAAATTTAGCTAAAGTTTGTTAAGTTTGACTTCAGATAAAATTAAAGAAGTATTTTTTTTTTACAATTTTTGAGAAGCTATATATATATTCACAAGAAGACGAATCATGTAAAGGTGACGCATAGCAAGACACTCACCTCCAATATCTTTATAGATAAAGCACATTGTCGAGCTTGACCATTCGAGCACGCCACCATCAATAACTTTGCTAGGCTTAACCCGAGGTAGTCACGCTGCTACCCGACAATGTCGTCGGGTTGGACTTCTTGGGTATATATGATACTGCCGCCGATATATAATATTATCGCAAAACTTAACCCGGGTCGATCAAAACCGCCGGCCGGCGGCAACACTACTAGGCTCGACATGAGCATGGAGGTGTAGCTGCCAACCGAAGGATTCGCTGTCTATAACAAAATAAAGCTTGATCAACATTGCGCCGGCGGCCACCGTTTCACCATTGCGCCGCAGGCTCAACACCTTTTCCTTCTCAAATGTGCGGCCGGCAGCGGCTGCTTAACATTTATTGTAAGGGCATGTTTCCGTCACATCAAACTTGCGGTATATGCATGAAATACTAAATATTGACGAAATCAAAAACTAATTGCACAGTTTGGTTGTACTTTGCGAGACGAACGTTTTGAGCCTAATTAGTCAACGATTGGACAATTATTACCAAATACAAGCGAAATGCTACAGTGCGCTACAGTGTCTCAACCTTTGGTCCGAGTTTGTGTCTCAACCGAAACTAAAGGTGCCTCCAGAGTGAATTTAAAAGAAAAGTATATTTTGTCTGGGTCGGATGTTTGGGGGAGTTGAGATGGCAATGTGCGTAGGGGCTAAGGTGAATCTGCAGCCCCCGCTTTTTTTTTACTTGGTAAACACCTTTTGTTCGGGTTGTAGGAATTGGAAACACTTCTAGTCCCGGTTGTAGGAACCAGGACTAAAAATCGAGACCTTTAGTCCCGATTGCATAATCCCATTTCACAAAACCAGGACGAAAGGGAGTTAGGAACCGGGAGTAAAGGCAATTTCTCTAGTAGTGAAGGATGCAAATCTGAATTGGGATTGAGTCACACTTCCTTAATTTACACTAAGCTTATGAAAAATATATTCTACAATTAATTAAACTTAAAATTAATTTATTTCTAAAAACAAGAAATACATTTTCTTTGGACTAAGGAAGCGCCTTTTGGTCCAACCTATAGTTCACTTTAGATTTATTCTACATGGCTTTTATCGGAGTTTTCGTTTAATAAATGGACGAAGTTAACCCATGACGGGTCGCGCCCCCAGGGGCCGCACGACCCTTCTTCCTCTCCGCGACGCGACCCTCCTCCTCTGCACGACCCTTCTTCCTCTCCGCGACGCGACCCTCCTCCTCTGCCCCATCCATGGCCATCGAGCACTCACAACCCACCTCCGCCACCCCGTCCATTGCCATCGAGCACCCCGGCGATCCTCCTCCACCTCGCCCCCGCCGCCGGCCACCGCCTCCGATCAAGATATTTAGATAAAATAGGTCTTAGCATACGCATGGCAGAAACATTAGATGAAGCATTGTCCGTAACAGCAAACACTTTTTCAAGCACACCATATTCACCAAGAACAGATGCAACTCTATCAGCAATGTTCTGTCCATTATGGGAACAATCAATAAGCACAAGACCAAGAACCCTCTTCTCTAGTTGCCAATCAGGGTTTATGTAATGAGCAACAACACTAAGATAATCCTCTTTGGCTTTGCGAGACCAAATATTAGAGGTAAGGCACACACAATTAACAGAATCAGAAGCAAGTACCTTAACAAGCTTACTCTTTCTATCAAAAAACATTTTGGCTAAGTCTCTAGTTGTGGTTTGTGTAGAGACAGCCTGAAACTTAGGATTATGAGCATTATTAATGTATTCCTCAAATGCAGCAGATTCACCAAAGCTGATAGGAACATCTACCCTAGCAAGCAATCTACACAGCTTCAAGACGAAAGCACGCATAGGACAAAGAATCCCAATTACGATAGAACCATCAGATTAAAAGAAATATGAGACCTGACTAAACCCCTAGTTTTCTCTCGCCTCTTAGCACATTTATCCCTCAGGATTTACGGAGGTGGCCAGTGCCACCAGTAGATCTACCAGAGTAATTGTTTTTTGCAATGGATGCGCATAGCAGGCCCATACCCCGATCTTCTTACCTTTGGGACCCATTTTGAAGAGCTTCTAAAAATCTTGCCACACATCAGAGGTAGAGGGGCGTGATACCTGGTCCTGGTCGTCGTCGGCGTTCTCACCGTCTTCTTCTCCACCACCACCTTCGTCACCATCAAGGTCAATGGGGTCCTCTACGCCAGCTCCACCAGGTACAGCTCCACGGCCGAAGAGCTCTTCTACCTCTTCGTCGCCCATGTCGTCGTTGTCGTCATCACCAGGGAGGTCGCGGACCCTCTCCATCTCATCAGCCATGGCAGTGGCACTAGCCTCCACCGTGTCCTCAGAGACAGAGGGAGGCCGGGACGGCATCCTCACTTGCCCTGGCCTCAAACGTCTGCCAAAAGAAGAAGAAAGGAAGAACATGAACATGGTCCTGGTCGTCGTCGGCGTTCTCACCGTCTTCTTCTCCACCACCACCTTCGTCACCATCAAGGTCAATGGGGTCCTCTACGCCAGCTCCACCAGGTACAGCTCCACGGCCGAAGAGCTCTTCTACCTCTTCGTCGCCCATGTCGTCGTTGTCGTCATCACCAGGGAGGTCGCGGACCCTCTCCATCTCATCAGCCATGGCAGTGGCACTAGCCTCCACCGTGTCCTCAGAGACAGAGGGAGGGCGGGACGGCATCCTCACTTGCCCTGGCCTCAAACTTCTGCCAAAAGAAGAAGAAAGGAAGAACATGAACATCAGTCAAGAACTCAAGATTCAAGAAAAGAAATCAAGAACGGAGTAGATCGGAGCTAGGGTTAGGGTTAGGCTTCGGAGCTAGGGTTAGGGTGTCTTACCTAGACATCACCGGCGACGAAGACGGCGGAGCCGGAGCTCCTAGCAGCAGCGGATCCACGGATCTGCAGAAGAGGGAGTGAGTTAGTGACAGTGAGAGAAAGAAGAAGAAGAGCAGAAGGGGATGTTACCTGCATCGTTGGAGCTCTAGAGCTGCGGCTGCCAGAGGACGAGAAAAGGAGGCGGGGTCTGCGGGGACGACGGCGAGTCGCCGTCGCCCTTGGGAGGGGTCGTTGCCCTTCGCCACCGTCGTCGGAGAGGGCAAGAGCCAGAGAGGAGAGGAGGGAGAGCGTTGGCCAGTGAGAGGATGAAATGATTTAGGGTTTGTGTGGGTGGGGAGCGAGGGAGGCCGGCCGGCTTATATACGCGGCGGCACCGTTGCCCTGGATCCAACGGCCATAATCCATCAGGGGGGGATTGGACGACTGAGTCCCCTGGATAGCGGGCCGTTAGCGGGCCAGGCCACTTTACCATGCCGCGTTCTGTCTTGGCCCATGGGCGAATTGGTAGCCTGTGCACGGCACGGGCGGCGGCCGTGCAGCACGACATCGCAGGTCAGCCGCCGGCCGGGCAGGTGCAGGTCACCTATCGTGTCTTACCCATCTAGAAAACTTTACCGAAACCTCAAGGCAGAGCACCTCTTTAAGTCACTCGGGGGCTAGGTCATTATCCTACGCAATAATATCTTGCAGATTTTCTCAATGCCTTAATATGTCATACTAACACGTCAAGGCATTCGGGGGCTACAAACTGATTCTAAGCCCTCTTTTTTGAGTTGCTTCTCGATACGATTATACTAATCAATCGAACTTCCTCTTGATGTGGTTATACTAATCTATCAAGACGCATGAAGTTCAACCCTTTAGGAGCCAAGATACGTGATACAAAATGAATCAAGGTGCTCATGGGCTACTCGCTTATTGTAGAACCCATAACCTACTAAGGGGAATTATTGCAATACGAACAATTCACCCTACCAGGGTACCCAATAACTGCTAAGAAGCCGATTTGCTGGGACTCTTGTTCGACTAAACACAAAGATTTGTTATCTAACTGTGGGGGATATACTCTCGGTATCCATAAGACAAGACATGGGTTGCACCATCAGAGGCGCGCACCGCAAGACTACAAGAAGATGTGATTTATTGTATAATACCAAATAGGATATTTTCCTTGTAATACCAAATAGGTATCCATTATTTTGTTTAAAGAATGTGCATTGAATGCAATGAATTGAGGGCCGTAGTGCGAGAAAGGCTTACCCACAACTCCTGAATCACCCGATCCACCAAGTTTCTATGCTCAGTGTCGGTGGCGACGAGGGCGTACTGGTCGAACGAGGGTACCACTGGGTCCTCATCCTCTGACGTCCACACTAGGCCAGGGAAGTGTCCCCTGCACAGAAGTCCCAGGATCCCATTGACATTGCGAGCCTCGATCCCCTCCTCCACAAGCATCCAGTTCCTGCACAAGTCATGTGCTTCTTTTCCAAGACGTAATCGGCCTTAGGCCTTTTCCATGGTTTGCCGTCTCTTGGAGGCAGCATCTGTAGCTTTGGTCTGTCGCATAGTGTTGCCATGTCTACTCTAGCCTTAGGGTTGTCCTTTGTCTTGTCAGGAATGCCCATGAGTGTTGCCCAAAGTGCTTCGGCGACATTTTTCTCAGTGTGCATTACATTTATGTTATGTGGAAGGAGAAGGTCATCAAAATAGGGAAGCCTCTCCAATCCCGACTTATGAGTCCACATATGTTCCACACCATAGCCCACAAAGCGATCTTTGTTTGGATTATCTTTCTTTGGATTAACATTCTTTCTTTTACCCTTCTTTGGATTATCTTTCTGCGTCAGGACCACGAGAGCATCTATCTGAGCATGAACCTGGCCACCAGTCATCTTCTGAGGTGCAGGGTCGGTCACCGTGACACCTTTTGTGAAGTTCTTGATGTCTTCTCTGAATGGATGGTCAAGAGGGAGGAACTGTCGATGCTTGTCGAACGACGAGAACTTGCCACCCTTCTTCGACCAAATGAACTGTAGAGCTGCCTTGCATACCGGGCATGAAAACTTCCCGTGGACACACCAGCCGACGAATATCCCATACGCCAGGAAGTCATGCATGGAGTACAAGTACCAAACATACATTTTGAAGTTCTTCTTTGTAGCTCGGTCGTAAGTCCATACGCCTCCATTCCAAATCGTGATCAATTCATCATAAACCGGCTCCATGTACACACCCATTTTGTTTTCTGGGTGTCTAGGAATTATCAATGTCAAGAATATGTTTTGCCGTTGAAGTAGGGCCCCGGGGGGGAGATTGAGGAGGATAGCAAACACGGGCCAACAAGTGTATGGGGCCGACATCATTCCATATGGATTGAACCCATCCGTTGCCAGTGCAATACGTACATTACGGGCCTCTTCATCTTTGCCACGATGGTTGCCATTAAAGCTTTTCCATGCTTCACCATCTGCTGGATGTACCATCTTGTCAGGATTGTATCGAACGCCATTCTTGTGCCATGTCATCTATTTCGCGGACTCCTCGGACATGAATAGTCGTTGGAGCATCGGTATGATCGGAAGGTATCGTAGGACTTTCATGGGGATCCCCTCATTCTGCTCCTTCTTGCCATCACCTTTGTCTACCTCCACATACCTAGAGAATTTACACTTTGGACAATACTTTGCATCCTTGTGATCTTTCCTAAATAGGACGCACCCCTTCGGACAACAATGTATCTGCTCATACGGCATCTTCAGTGCCCGAAGGAGTCTCGTTGACTCGTACAAGCTGCTCGGCAGATGATGACCTTCCGGAAGCAAATCCCCAATAATTGCCATCATAGCATCGAAGCAGGCTCGAGTCATGTTGTGTTGGGACTTCAACCCTAGTAGGCACCCAATGGCATCTAGTTGAGAAACCGTTGTCTTCTCATGTAGGAACTTCTGTGCCGATTCCAACATGGCCAAGAACGCCTTAGCGCTTGGCTCTGGCTCCTCCTCCTCATCCTCCTACTCGACCTCCGAAGGTCTTTCAGCGAACATCGCATCCTCATAGTCACCTAACCATCCTTCTACCCCGCCATCACCATCAAATGCCTCCAAGCGTCGTCTCACGACCTCCTCTCTAGGACGATAGGCTTCACCATGGTACACCCACCGGGTATAGTTTGGCATAAATCCAAACTTGCAAAGATGCTTCATCATGACTTCCCTTATTTTTCTTTTCTTGTTTTTATAATCGCTGCAAGGACAGAACATGTCTCTCGCTCCCTTAGCTTCCTTAAATGCATGGTCCAAGAATTTCTCGGTCTTATCCATCCATTCACGGGTGATTTGAGCCTGACTTGGGCGTCCCATGTACATCCACTCACGGTTCTCCATCCTCTAGCATATACACATAACGGAGCAATATCATATACACATAACCAAGTAATATAACCATCAGTTGCATCTGCACGGCGTGCCTACTGTCTAATAGGTGAGGATAGGTCCTAATCCCACCCGTGGATGCGTAGATGAGGTTAGTTTCCATGCTCTACTCCGATACGAGACCGAATTTTGGCAGCACCTCCCCGCTGTTCTCCTAATACACATCCTAGAAGGGAGAGTGTGTATCCGGAGAACAACAGGGAGGTGGTGCCGAAACTCTGTCTCAGATCCGAGCAGAACATGGAAACTAACCCATCTACGCATTCGCGGGCTGTCCAAAAAATATGGACAATCCGAAACAGATACGGTCATAGATATGCAAAGATCCGCATACCTCCAAGGCCTAACTGGGTTACATACGACAACTATAAGCCAGAGAGGTCAATTATACCTAGGGTGGCGGTGGAGAAAGGCTAGCGGCGCAGTGGTGAGTCGGTGCAGTGGTGAGACAAAGCAGTGCAGGCACGACCGCAGCGCCGACGAAGACGATCGGGATCGCCGAGGTGCTCCGGGTCCCCTCCGACAGCTCCTGCTCTGCAAAAGAAGAAACACATCACTATTACTTGAAAAATTCGGCAGAACCTCCCCTATATGGGGAAGTTTCCGAAACCTGCAAGAAAAAGCCGGCACGATGGCCGACGTCCACATTTGGGGTACGATGGCCCACACATACACAAACCCGGCACGAAGGCCGTCAACACATAAATGGCACCAAGGCCGACACCCCGGAGCCTTTACCTTTTCTCCGTGAGGGGACGGGGGACTTACGGCGTGGATTAACGGCGATGTCGCGGGGATGACGGAGTGGGATTTAACGTCGTCGATTTAACGACGTGAACGATCATCGGACCGAGGTCCGTCACCTCCTCCCCCCTTCTCCTTCTTCTTCCTCCTCCTTCTTCTTCCTCCTTCCTCCCTTCTCCTTCTTCTTCTTCCTCCTCCTCCTCCCTTCTCCTTCTTCCTCCTCCCTTCTCCTTCTCCTCCCTTCTCAAATTGCTCGAAACCTTCTCAAATTTTTATCATAGCCTCCACATGCGATCACACGACACCTTGACAAGTTTCGTGAATTTCAGACTTCGTTTGCATTTTCTATAATTTAAATACACTCCGACCACAAGCGGGTCGTCATGTTTGGCGAACAAGGCGTTCAAAATTTTGGGTGAGTTCCTGCATACGGCCTCAAAATACACTCTACAACATGACTATCATTTTTTGAATGGCTACATTTCATTATTTCATGCACCTGCAGTTCAAATTTACTTTTTTAGAAAAAATGCAAGTAAACAAAATTAATTCAAGAAATATAGCAAAAAGTTATAAAAAGGTCCCAAATTTTAACATGTGCTTGTAAACAATAGATAAGGTCTACAAAAAAATTTGAAATCAAAATTAAAAAAAAAAAAAAATACTTTGTTGAAGTGTTATGCCCGACACTTTCGGAAAGAGGGCTTTGCCGAGTGCCGAGTCAAGCACTTCGGCAAAAGGGCCTTTTTGCCGAGTGTCGTTAAGCGCTTCGGTAAACATTTTTTTAAAGATGGTAACGGCGTATGGGTAGGCGGTAAATCGACGGGCATTTT